TTCCATCTTAAAAGTTAGATATTTTATTATTCATTATTTCTGGGATAACAGAAAGGCAAATGCAATGTTTAATTTTTCAGTGTTACTTCAAGTTATACGCCATTTTTGGAAATGCATTTTAAATAATTCTGAGTAAATCTGCAACATTTCTAATGTTAACCTATTATTTAGAAGACAACAAAAAGGCCAGCTAGATTTTTGGTACCGCTCACATTAATGGTATAATATTGGATTTGAAAACAAAAGAAAAATATAGAAGAGTGAATGGTTTACCAAACTGAAAGTGCTATGATAAAGCTATTTGGTAAGTTTCTAGTATAATTTGGGGCAAATGGTCCATTAATAAAGAAAAGTCAAATGTAGATGATTTTACATTTGCTTAAATGTAAAGAGTAATATACATTTACTTTTAACATAACAATGTATAACAATGTTTATTACTCTTTACATTTAAGAAAGTAGGGTAAGTGGAACCCACTGGCATAACTTAACTGAGTAGATTTAACTCTCTTTTTTTGTGTAATTTTGACTGGTTTTAATTGTTAAAACTATAAGAATTTTGCAAAGAAATGCCTCAATCACACTTAGATTTAGTCTGTTTGCTTTTCTATGCCTTTACCAAAAGACTTTGCACTGACTTCATCACATCAACTATTTTGCTTTTTTGATAACTACAACATACACAAACCCAGTCAGTCGCGTTCTGAGTTGCCTGATCATCCCCCATCTTGGGTCTGAGAGTCTAATTACATATTTTGCATCACTGTCAGATATGCAGATGTCACCACAAGATAAATCTGACAATTACCACCGACCAAAAGGTAAAGGCCACAAACATGACGACAGCATGAAAACTAGAGATAAATCACGTTTTTTGCTGATGTAAATTGGACATTGAGTGGGAAGTTTCTTTCGCAAACAGTGAGCAGCTACCACTAAAAGAGCCAAGCTGTGAGCAAACTCACTCTGGGTCAAACCTTCATGCACCTTAGTAGCATCCCATCAGACAATCTGGGGGTCGCAAAGGAATAAAAGGATCAATAAGAGTTCTGATATTAATAGAAAAGGACATATCAAACTACACTCTAAAAATAAAATGTTGACCAAGTTAGGTCAACTGCACCCACTGTGCAAAGACCTAGATTGGACATCCTACAAAAGTGCTCTGGACCGACGGACTCAATATAGACATAATCTGCACATTCATGCAACGTTCACAGTTTGCAGGGTGGTTCCACTAAATGTAAAGGGTGATAAACTTTTATGTTTACAACAATGTAACACAATATATATCGCTCTTTGTAAAGCAACACAATAGTTTTTAACACTTTAAGCTATTGCTTTCAAAGAGGTTTCAGTGGTTCCTGAGAGCCAAACTAGAGCAAATTCACACTGGACAGCACTCTGCTGAAGTGAAACGACGCCTAACAATGTTTGTGTTTTGGTCGGCAGCGATGGAAACTTGCTTTATGGCTACTGTTGTTTACTGAACCTGTAGCTCATATAAAGCACTTAACTTTTTCAGTTTGTTGTCTGACAATGAAAAGCACAAGATTATTAAGAAGAAAGAGTTTAATATTTTTGTTGACATCATGGCGGATCATAGAAGTATGAGAGTAATGTCTTCAGAGGCGAAGCAAAGAGCTAAAAGCAGAGTGAACATTGACGGGGCCTATGCTAGTTTGAGGAGCTGAAGGAGGCTGCAGAATCACAGGCTGATAGTGACCTGGCTTTGTTGCTACTAGACTTGTAAGTAATAATAATTTTTGTCCAATAGTGTGGATCTTTTTACTTATTGGCTTATTTAGTAACAGTTGGCCCATATTAGCATTAGTTCATTGTTGGCACTATCTACAACAGAGTGCTGCAGGGTTGTAGCCTGGTAAGCCATCCTGTAGATGTGAATATATAGTCTGGCCACAACCTAGTACTGGATCTCAGTCATGGGGCAGAATCTATGCTTGTCTTTCAAACCGTCTCTGCTTGTCATTGGCCAGGAGCAACGCTACCAAAAACACACTGTCAAAGAAGATGCAAATGCATCCTAAATAAAGGACTTCAGTACCTAAATCTGCTCTTGAGTCAAAAGTCTAAATAGTCAAAACTACATGCCAAAGCCGTTTCAAACAAGCCGCCACCAACTTGATTTCGCTCAGTTATACCACCCATCAAACTGATAGAGTGCTGTGATTGAAGAAGAAGAAGAAGTAAAGATATTTTCTGTAGCGCCTCTCAAGATAAAAATCATGAGGTGCTTCACAAAAACATAAAATGTTAAATATAAAAAAGAATTTAGAAAATGATTAAAATATATTTTTAATGAGCAAAAAATAAACAATTGTGATTAAAAAAATTTAAAGAAAGAGAGAGAGTGAATAGGAAAGAGGGAAATCAGTGGATCCTGAGGAAGGTGGAATACTGTTGGTAGGGAGAACAGCAAGGAGAGGGGGATGAAGGTCACAGCAAAGCCAGCTTGAACAAGTGAGTCTTCAGCTGCTTTTTAAAGGAGACCACTGAGTCCACTGATCTCAGGCTCAGGGGGAGAGAGTTCCAGAGTCTGGGGGCCACAGCAGCAAATGATCTGTCACCTTTGGTCTTTAGCCTGGTGCTGCACAACCAGTAGGCTTTGATCACTGGACCGCAGGGACCTGCTGGGGGTGTAGGGACTAAGAAGATCACCAATGTAAGATGGTGCTTGTCCATGTAAGGCCCTATAGACCAGAACCAGGATCTTGAAATGAACCCTGAAGTTGACTGGCAGCCAGTGAAGCTGGAGGAGAAGCGGGGTGATGTGGGCGTATTTGGAGGACTTGGTCAGAAGCCGAGCACAGGCATTCTGAACCACCTGTAGACGGTTCAGGGAGGTTCTGCTCAGACACGTGAAAAGAGAGTTACAGTAGTCTAAGCGTGAGGAGATGAAGGTGTGGAGAACTGTCTCATTGGCAAGGCACAAGACTGTTTGGACCTGCACAGTCTCTAGTGGGGCGTGGTTAGATCAACCTGCAGAGTAAAATCTTTTTTCTTCTGCTACCTTCTAGGTTATCAGGGTTGTTCACGATAGCTGTAATTTCACTTTCAACCAACCAGTAGGAGAGAAGCAGCAAATGTATTAAGCATTACTTTGGACGACGGTGGCACAGTAGTTAAGTGCTCTCCGCGTAACTGGAAAGTTGCAGGTCTGTTGCTGTTGTTGTGTCCTTGGGCAAGACACTTAACCCAACTTGGCTGCTGGTGGTAATTGGAGAGACCAGTGGCACCTGTGTATGGCAGACTCGCCTCTGTCAGTGTGCCGCAGGGCAGCTGTGGCTACAGTGTAGCTCATCACCACCAGCGTGTGAGTGTGCAACGTGTGTGTGAATGGGTGAGTGACTGACTGTGTTGTAAAGCAACTTGGGGGGGGGGGGGGGTTCTAGGACTCTACAGAAAATGCTAAATCAAATACAGGTCCTTTACCATTTACCATGAAGTAACTAGGTTTAGATGAACCCATTGACCTAACTTGGTTAGGTAAATTCAATAATTCATTTTTTAGAGTGTATAAGACGCATTTCTTGAAAATCTTCTCATTTCTTCTCCCTGATAAAAATGAATATTTCTTTTTCAAACTAAAAATTAAAGGCCATTGTACCCTAAATAGCCAACAGTGCTTTTAAAATAAACTATTTGAATGTTTGTAATCAGCAGCCACACAGTTTAAAGGAAATAAAACATTTATCTTTATTTCCTTATATAATTGCTTTATAGGTGCTGGAGTACCTGAAGGGTGTGATGCAGCCTCGGTGACATCCAGCTAATTAAAAAAAGTTTAATTGTGAGAAACAGGACCCCGTGATGTATTGCTGGTGAACAATAGTGTCCTCTAGGTGAACGCCCCCCCCCCCCCCCCCCACCACCACTGTATGGGTTGCTGCCTTAAGACTGATGGCTGCTGCGCTTTGGATAATGAAGCATTAGTGCGCTGCGTACTTTGCGCTGCTGTCTGTGAAGAGACGCTCTCTCTCTCTCTCTCTCTCTCTCTCTCTCTCTCTCTCTCTCTCTCTCTCTCTCTCTCTCTCTCTCTCTCTCTCTCTCTCTCTCTCTCACGCAGACCAATCCGCGTGTAGAAAGATCCAGCCCAACTTTATTGTACAAGGTGTTGGTGTAAGATTACACTGGGATCAGTTATTTCATCGCTGCAGAACAATAAGGCTGTGGAGATTATTTTGGCGACTGCGTCAACTCGAGCGTTTTCTACGTCATCCCATTCTGCCCGCTCCTATCACGCTTCCCTCTCTGGGGATCAAACTGGGTTCCACATGACAACTGGCTGCGGGCCCGCTAATTATCCCCCTCTGTCCTCCTACAGCAACACGGGCGCTATGAATAGGCAACCCCTCCGCGCAAACCCCACCCCATCTCTAAATTTGGAACACAATTGAAACAGAGAAACCCTGTCAGAAGATAACAAAGAATAATATTGACCCCCGCTTCATTAAGCCCAGTAGTGAGTCTGAACCATCAGCCTCATTGTGACATAACTGTGTCCGTATGTGCCAATGTACACTCATCTCAATTTTACTCCAAAATCCTACACATAAAGCAACATAAGAAGAAAGTGCACGTGCTTCCACTGAGTTTTTGAACGTTTTCACACCTGCCCAGGATAAACAAATAAATTATAATACGATTTTTCATTTTTTGACAACCGGTTCCATCAGAAGGGATGAAGTAAAAGTGTTCCTAAACAAGCCAAACTTGTGACAAACCACATGTCAGCCTAAAGCAAGCACCGGGTTGAGTCCAGCGCAAACACCGAGGTGTCTGCGTAGAGTTTAAGTTGGTTTACCCTCCACTACGTCTCTGCTAATGTCCATGTGGGAAGCAACATGGGGCGCATGCCTCAAGACAAACATGCGAGGAAAAATTGGGGCTTGAGAAAGTTCCCGAGCGGATTGGTCTGCGTCGGTGGCGACGCCGATGACGTGGCGCAGCGAAACACGTGGGCCATGGTATCCAGAGCTCACATAAACAAAGCCACATTGGGCAGACTGGATAGTTGAAGCTCGCGTTGCTGTCAGTGAGCGGAGTCCGGGTGTGTTTTCTCTCTCTCCCCCCTCTCTCTATCTCTCTCTCTCTCTCGCTCGCTCTATCTATGCTTGGCGTTGCGGCTACCGACGCGCATGGTTTGGAGCTTTTACTAAAACTGATGAATGACCATCTACATGCTTCTCGCATGGACTGAACGACACGATCCTGATGTGAAAGAGGTAAGATTATATCTTTTCTTTCCATTTTCTTATCCTGGGTGCGCTTTTACGCGCCGCGTCTTCTCCAAAACATTAGAGTTAAATGTTAAAAGGTGAAACTACACAAAATCAGACTCTGACATCAGTTTATGAGATCGGCATGGGGAATTTGTCTAAAAAGACAAAGCTTTTCTCTTTGGTGACAAGTTCTGTGCGCAAAGTTCCTTATGCGCCAACACCTGGTTCATATTTTTTCAATAGGTCTTATTTCAATAAAACTCCGTTTTTATAATACATTTTGAAGGAAAACACAGCTTTGCACCTGATTTAGGCTTCAATTGAAGTGTTTTATATTAAGTTAATGAAGAACTTGTTTTATCAGAGGCAGATCCGGAAAAGAGCCGCTCTCTTCAACCCTGACATCCACACAGCTCCTGACATTGCTAATTTCAAGTGCCACCGGGGAGGTGTCAGAAAACTTGAGGTAGGACGTGGATAAATGGCCAAACCTTCCAACAATCAAACTTTATTTTACCGTCACACTATTTTTGTCTCTTTTGACAATTCCTAAAGAAAATATAAATATCCCCGTGCTTATTTTGTATTCTAATATGTTTGCACCGCTCTGGTTTACAGCCATGCCCTGCGTCCAGGCTCAGTATGGATCATCACCTCAAGGAGCCAGCCCTGCTTCCCAAAGCTACAGCTACCACACCGCAGGAGAATACAGCTGCGACTTCCTAACGCCCGAGTTTGTTAAGTTTAGCATGGACTTGACCAACACTGAGATCACAGCCACGACTTCTCTCCCAAGTTTCAGCACCTTCATGGACAACTATAACACCGGTTACGACGTGAAACCGCCTTGTCTGTATCAGATGCCACACTCTGGAGAGCAGTCCGCCATCAAGGTGGAGGACGTCCAGATGCACAGCTACCATCAGCAGAGCCACCTGCCGCCCCAGTCGGAAGAAATGATCGCTCACACTGGGCCTATGTACTTCAAACCCTCTTCGCCTCACTCCCCCAGCACACCAAACTTCCAGGTTCAGCCTAACCACATGTGGGAGGACCCCGGCTCGCTCCACAGTTTCCACCAGAACTATGTCACCTCTCACATGATGGATCAGCGCAAGAACCCCATGTCGAGGCTTTCGCTCTTCTCCTTCAAGCAGTCCCCGCCCGGTACCCCCGTGTCCAGCTGTCAGATGAGGTTCGACGGGCCGCTGCACGTCTCCATGAACCACGACAACCCGGGCGCGCACCGCGGCCTGGATGGTCAGAGCTTCGCGGTGCCCACCGTAATAAGGAAGCAGGCCGGTCTGGCCTTTCCTCACTCCCTGCAGCTGAGCCACGGGCACCAGCTGGTGGACAGTCAAGTTCCATCGCCTCCTTCAAGAGGATCTCCGTCAAACGAGGGTCTGTGTGCGGTGTGTGGGGACAACGCAGCCTGCCAGCATTATGGAGTGAGGACTTGCGAGGGCTGCAAAGGATTTTTCAAGGTGGGATTTTATTTAAGCCACTCTAAAATGAGTTTTTTTCTGTCTGAGCATGAATGCTGGAATCTGTTTTTTTTAAGAATTTCACCAAGTATCTTTAATTGATAGGATCAAATGTTCCCCTCTTTAAGGAAGAGCTTTAAGGGGTTTGCGTTTGCTGCTTGGTTCCTTTGGCGCCGATATGAAAACATTTTTTCTTTTCCTTTTTGTCACACTTCTGCACCAAAAAGGCCTTAATGAGTGACAGCAAGTGTGTTTTTCCTCTCTGCAGCGCACCGTTCAGAAGAATGCCAAATACGTCTGTTTAGCGAATAAAAACTGTCCAGTCGACAAACGCCGGAGAAATCGGTGCCAGTTTTGTCGTTTCCAAAAGTGCCTCGTCGTTGGAATGGTGAGAGAAGGTATGCTTTAGTGATGGATTAAATTACTTCAGAACTTTAGCGCATGTGTGGCACGCTGATGATCTGGGAGCACGTGCGTAAAAGGGCTGCCGGTGGAAATCTAGGCTTTTACGCACAACAAATATAGTGTAAATTATTTTATTTATCCGTGCCACGTTTCTTTCAACGCAGTTGTCCGAACAGATAACCTGAAAGGACGGAGAGGACGCCTACCATCCAAACCCAAAAGTCCCCAGGAGCCCTCCCCGCCGTCGCCGCCGGTGAGCCTCATAAGCGCGCTGGTCAGGGCCCATGTGGACTCCAACCCCTCCATGTCTGCTCTGGACTACTCAAGAGTAAGTGAAGTCACATTTCAAACATAAAACACACACACCGAGAGACGATTTTAAAGGGGAAAGTAAAGAGAGATCGAGGAAAGGGAAGATTGATGACTTTTAATTCCGTCCCGCTTGAATTTATCACCTTAAAAGTTTCCTTTTCAGAATTCCAAACTTTGTCTGGAATTTTTATGTGTTATATTTTTGCCACATTACATCGGAATGCAGAACCCAATAAAAGAGAAGACGTGAATTTTATAGTGAATAGTCCTCTCCCTCTCTTACTTTCCTACTTTGCAATTTCACGGATAATATATTTTAAGGCACCTCATTAAGGCGCTGTTTAAATTAAATTCCAGTTCCAGGCGAGCCCTGACTACCAGATGACCGGAGACAACACTCAGCACATCCAGCAGTTCTACGACCTCCTGACGGGCTCCATGGAGATCATACGGGGCTGGGCGGAGAAGATCCCAGGCTTCTCTGATCTTCCGAAGCAGGACCAGGACCTCCTCTTTGAATCCGCTTTCCTTGAGCTTTTCGTTTTGCGGCTGGCATACAGGTGAGTGATTACTTACGCGGGCTATAAAGCGCACTTCCTGCTTCACGCTTCATTACTTTGAGCTTTATTAGATGCCCGATGATTAGAAAGCTCCTAAATCCACATTTATCGCTAAACGTAATTAACGACGTTTTGGTTCTAATTGCAGGTCCAACCCGGTGGAAGGAAAACTCATCTTTTGCAACGGGGTGGTGTTGCACAGACTACAGTGCGTCCGTGGATTTGGAGAGTGGGTGGACGCCATCGTGGAGTTTTCTTCCAACTTGCAGAGCATGAACGTAGACATCTCAGCGTTCTCCTGCATCGCGGCTTTGGCCATGGTAACAGGTGCGTAAAGACGCACGGCACCCGAGTTAGAATGTAACATTTTTAAATAGTTTAATGTGATTTTTTTTATTGTTTTCAGAGCGACATGGACTAAAGGAACCCAAGAGAGTCGACGATCTCCAAAACAAGATCGTCAACTGCTTGAAAGATCAAGTGACATTCAATGGTGGCGGTTTGAATCGTCCCAACTACCTGTCAAAACTCTTGGGAAAGCTGCCCGAACTGCGCACTCTATGTACCCAAGGTCTGCAGCGTATCTTTTACCTAAAGCTAGAGGACCTAGTCCCTCCGCCGGCAATAATTGACAAACTTTTTCTCGACACTCTACCTTTCTGAGTGCAACTCCGAGGCAAAAACCTCAAAGAACTTCCAAACAATATAAAACAAAAGACTGAGGCGACGATTTTCAACTTTTTTTTTCTCCTAATTTTTTGGGAGGGGGAATTCGTAAAATAGAATTCATGAGGAGTGACGAAAAATAACAGAAATCGGAGAGGAAATCATTATTTTCTTTCTTTCTTTCTTTCTTTCTTTCTTTCTTTCTTTCTTTCTTTCTTTCTTTCTTCTTCACATGTAATATTCTCCATTTATATATATAAATATATATATATGTACACAGTAAATATATAAACACGCGCGCACACGCACACTCGCAGGTTCTGTGTTCTGATAGATGACATGATGTCTCGAATGCATCGGGTTATAACACGTGTACAGAGTTTGTTATAATGAAAAGGTTGACTTTTCTTCTTCTTTTCTTCTTCTTTTCTTTTCTTTTTTGGATTCGTGCCTCTGTGTTTCTGACAGGATCCCAAAAACCAGATAAGAAAACGCATGTTCCACTTTCTGTTCCTTTCCTTCTCTCTTGTTCTTTTATAGGCACTTGCTGAGGTGATGTCTATATATAAAATATACCGGACACTATGTAGTCTGCTAGATTTGATACAGATCAGTAGTTATGGCACTCCTTTTATGTATGAATCAAATGTGGAAAAAACAAACAAACAAAAAAAAAACAATATTCCATCTGTATAGAAATGAGGGACCCATGGTGTTTGTAAAACTGTCAGACATTCCTTGTTTGTATGTGCTGTAAGTATTGTTGCTGTTCAATATAAACGTTTCTATATATTTATTATTTCTACTGCCAAGAGCTACACTAAGCATGGTGCAATTTAAACGATTTAAAAACCCACCCGAGTTCATGCTGAGCACGTTGTCTATGTTTTATGTCTTCTAGGTAGTTTTGGTTTAACGGAGGTGGAGGAGGAGAGAAATAATCCATTCTATTTTAATTGGTTCATGAGTGTGTGATATGGGCCTCCATCTCTGGCATCATGGTGTAATTACTGCAGCTTGTGTAACGCACTCGGTGCCGAATTGAAGAAAAAAAGAAACAAAAACTTAAGAAAGAAAGACATATTTAATGTTTACAAATAAAATTTCTAAATCAAACGATTTTTATTTATTCATAATATTTCTGAAATTAAGATGCAGGTAGGAAAAACCTTTGCCACACGGTTTTTTTCTTCTTGAATTAAATGTAACCAAATATTGTTTTAATTGCGTCTTAGTTATTTATAATAATAATAATAATAATAATAATAATAATAATAATAATAATAATGGTTTAATTAAAAACAATTTTCAGTGTAACGGATCAAAATAAGACACAATAAAATGTTTATCTCTTGTAACATTTCAGAATGTTTTTTTTTACTTAAAACGCCAAATTTTAATAACTCATCACGTGATCCGTTTCATACGCCCACACCAAGCGACTCCTCTAGTCACCAAAATGGCATTTTAATTCGCTTATAAAAAATTCACCTGCGTCTCGTTCGATGTTTGTAACATTTAATTAAATAAAGTTTTATTACACTTTCCTCACAGGAGAAGCTGCTTTTTATACTCAGAGCCGATCAAATAGGAACCATTAGATTATTTGTACTTTTTTTTTACTTACGCAAAATTCCTTGAAATTAGAAATGAACTTTATTTAGATCCGACAGAACTCTTGTAATAAATGTCCTCCTTCCGCTACAGTTATATTATCTTTTCGATCTGCTGGGTTTTCAAATCAGAACCAAAAATCTAACGAGTTTCGAAGTTTTAAAGAAAATAAAGGGCGGCTTTACGTGCAAATTTCCCAACTTTTAACTAAACGAGTTCAAAGTGCGGCTAAAAACTGTGAATCTGGAATTTGCTCAAATGTGGAACGGTGTTACAATCAGCGTCAGTTCGCACCAACTCTGCGACTGAAAATCCTCAAACAGGCGATAATGGATGAAAGTGCAAAATATCCCAATTAATTAGTTTTTCGGTTTGTTGTTTCCGGAACCTGCGCGTCTGCTCCTCCCCAATCCTCTACCTCACCGGGGCTCTAAATGCCAAACCACACGCAAAAACATGCTTTTGCTGCACGCGCGTTTCCACCAAAAACGCAAAAAATCAAGAAAAGAGGCCAAAGCGAGTGAATCTGGGCCGCTGTCACAAACGCTTTCCTTCAGCCTGTCAGAGCAGAGAGGTGACACCAGGCTCTGAGGCATGTCTGGGACTTCTCCACGTTGATCACGTGATCAACATGAAGGGAACAGCTTATTTTCAGATAATAATAGCAGCAGGCAATAAATTGTCTAAATGATTAGATCGTCAGTGTAAAGTGCTAATTCCAAGGCAAATTGGGATTACATTCAGAACCAGTTTGCTGACATTTAGCAGATCTGCTGAAAGGGAGCGGAGTGTCACAAGTTTCCTCTGTTGACTCTAAGTACAGTCAGGCTTTAAAGGCGCCTATCTCAATTCAATAAAACATGACTCACAGCTGATATTTCTGTCAGTGTTTGTGCTTAATTATTCACTCTAAATTCATTAAGGGCTTGATTTTTTAAAATACCCAGACATCAGTCTGACTGTCAGCGTGAAGAGCAAAGAAAAGGAGAGGGAGAGGAATGGATTTCCATGCAGGGATCAGCATCTGCACAGAGAACAAAAACAAGCAAAGCCGGCAGGTGAAAGAGGCCATGTTCTGAGAAAAACAGGTTGTTCCGTACATCTGCTGCTAAGTGCTTCTGCACACGGTGAGAGAAAGCGCGGAGTTGTACAGCTGAGCTTCCCACAATGCAGCTTTGTAATTACAGCATCTCACCTCATACATGCATGCTGCCTGCAGTGACACAGTGGATTATGTTGCATGCGGCTGCACTTTTCTGCAGCGTGACACCTTCCCACCGTCGACTCTGCAGGTCTAATGGGTGAACTGGGAAAGTAAAAGGCAGGTCGTTGCTTCCAGAAGGTTCAATTCAGCCTTACTTGGTTATGTTAAATGTTTCCTCTAAGCCTAGTTGCTTAAACATAAAAAGTATTATAGTTTTCATTTCAGTATAACAATGTATGGCAATACATTACAAGTGGTGGAAGAAGTACTTGAGTTTTACTTAAGTAAAAATACAGATAAAGGGGTAAAAATTACTAGAGGACAAGTAGAAGAATCCAAGAAAAGTCTGACATAAGTAAACGTACTAAAGTATGCATTCAGCTGACATGTTGTGTGCTGTGTGACTGGGTGGGTGGGGGGTGGGGCACACATTAAAGTACTTTTACCTTTCCATCTGATGTCCGTTGCAGACAAGGCAGTGTGTTTTTGGACTCCATCGGTCCGAGGACTGGGCACATAACAGTTAACCCACCTTACCTGCTGGTGGTCGGAGGGACCGGTGGCACCTGTGTACAGCAGGCTCGCCTCTTTCAGTGCACCCCAGGGCAGCTGTGGCTACAGTGTAGCTCATCACCACCAGGGTGTGATTGTGTGTGTGTGAATGACTGTGTTGTAAAGCGCCTTGGGGGGCTCCAGTTATCTAGAAGTCACTATACAGTACATTCTGGCCATTTGGGTGGGGGTTGGATAAAACGCAAATGAAAGTGCTTTCACTTTGAAACTTTTTAGAAAATGTAGTGGAGTAGAAAGTACAGGTAATGGCTTTAAATGTGGTGGAGTAAAGTAAAACGTAGACCTAAAGAAAAGTACCTGAGTAAAAACACAGAAAAAATGCACATGGGTAAAGTAACAGAGTACTTGTAATTTGTTACATTCCATCACTGTATATATTACTCTTTACATTTATGTTATTGTTTATGTTTTTTAATTATTTGGCAGACGCTTTTGTCCAAAGCGACTTACAATTTATAACCTGTAGGGCATGTTGTGATTTGTGGGGGGAATCCGGAGTACCCGGAGGAAACCCACGCATGCATGGGGAGAACACGCAACTCCACGCAGAAAGGCCACAGCCGAGTTTCGAACCTGCAACCATCGAGCTGCGAGGCAACAGTGCTAACCACTGCGCTACCACGCAGCAACTTGGTTTAATTTAGGTTAATTTAACATTTCATTTCTTAGAGTGTGTGCGTTAAGATTTGTCTCATTTCCTGTAGCACATGGAGGAAAAAACACAATTTGGCATAAAAGTTTCTCTGCAGGAAACTTTAGGACTCATCTGTCTTTTAAAATTTGCACAAATTTAATTAAATATCAAGTTGCAGCTGAGATTTTACATTTCCTGGATGCTATTAAAAGCTATTTTCACGAACAGTCTAAGAAACTGTGATTTGATAAGAATCCATATGAGATAAAAAGGCATTTTCTCTTTATTACTTGAGTTTCTCGTCACCTGGGTTACCTCCGATTCGCTGTCATCTGCTTGTGTGAAACACTTTTCTGTCTTTGCAGTAAAACACGCTGATTACATAACGTCATAAGTATGCGTCTCTAAACAGAATGAATGAATGATGAGCCGAGTGATACACCCATTTTGAACACAGCCGCCTATAGTTACACTACTGTGACTATTTGATTTACCGTACTGAAATGGCGATGATTGTCCAATAAATAATGCAGAAAGCTTATTTCCTGGTGGTGCGGCAGGAAAAGAAATCCACCTTGCATATAGATGGGAGGTGAGCTGCGCCTGTCCTTCTCAGCTTGTGGCACAGAGCAGCTTTATCATTCATAGAGACTAAACAATCAATTCAGCGGCCATGTATGAAGGATGAAGGGACACGACAAGCGATAAATGATGAGAAGACCCCAAAAATAAAAAAAAATATCAAAGACCTGAGTCTCTAATGACCATTACCAGCCCAGACAGCAGCAGCAAAATGAGGTTAATCACTCGCTCGAATCCTTTCTGAGAAGATCGACTGAACTTGATGTTTGGTCATATCACTCATAAATATTTACTTCACATTTAACAGCTGTGCTTTGCTCTGTCGCCGCACATTGATTTCTGATGGATGCTTTCAAATGATTGTTTCAAGTGTGGTCAGTAAAATCTATGAGCACAACAGTCGTACCAGCACTCCGTTATGGCAACCGCGAGAAGTTAATATGCAACGAAAGGGACAGAATTAGAAAAAAAGGGAGTTCCTGCTCTGACCAATAACGCAAACAGAAGAAATAAAAGTTTAATTTAAAACACAATGAATTCAAGGCTAATTTTAATCTATGGCTAAACTATTGATCACATTCTCTCAGTCCTTTGACCTTATTGACAAAATGAAATCGGAAAAAGCCTTTATAGGAGGAGTTAATGTTTCCTCAGGCAGACATGTTTCCAATTCAATTAGTTTTAATGAAGCCGGTGCTCAGTGGTTACTGGAGTAGAAAAATAAGGCATAAATGCCTGATGGTAATAGAGGACATATTACAGAGGGAGGGATCGGACACACGACGCGTGTTTCTAAGTGGCGAAAAAGGCCTCTATCAGGCTGGCACGAGCCAGTGGCTTGGGAAGCAATGAAATGTATGAGCTTCAAATGATGCGTTTGGTCTCTGGGGCGAGGCTCGAGGAAACCGAGGCTGTAAAAGCACACCCATGGACAACCTGGATTAGATGATGCATGTGGGGCATCACTAAGTGGACGGTGATGCTTATCTCAAGATCTAACTAGCACATAAAAAAAATACATAATTACAAGAAAACCATAAGATTATCACTTTGATGTAATTTTCTTTCAAACAGGGATTGAAAACATCTTCCAAACGAATGTCAGAAGGTAGAACATCAGCATGGTCAGACTCACTGGCTCCGTTCCCATATGAACATGCCCTGGTCCCATGTTACGAATCGTGCCGCTGCTCCACGGTGAAGTGAAACATATTAAGCACACTCATGCACATGTAATCTGGTCATGTCTATGAGTCAAATCATGTGCATGATCTGTCATATGCCCAGGGTCAAGAGTCGGTTTGCGGCCCTCTTTAAATGATATGTTGTTGACCATATAACTGCAGCATACCATTTTACTCGGCAGGCGATACAGATTTTCTTGTTCTCGTAAGCTTCAAGTTTTCTACACTGTAAAAAATGAAAAGTTTAATCCACTATATTTAGATATGTCAGCTGGTTCCACTGAACCCAGTTGATTAATTATAAAGAGTAATATACATGTTAAAG